AGTTATCCTGAAAGCAGAACAGAATTATTAACAGGTCCCCTTCTCACTATAAATAATATCCCATTTGGATGACAAACTATGCAATCCCTCTCTTATCCTTCCTATGCCTTCCGTATTTTGAGCCTTTCTGAGATCCACCAAGCCTCAGGGTCTCCCAGAGCTGTTGTCTCCCTGAGGGGGGCCCCTTCCTACTCACTTCCCTGGATCGACTTCTATGCACTACTCTTTCAGGTTCAGCATGTAGAACGGTGGGTCAAGGGACAAACTCAGGCACAATGGAATGACAAGTGTGACAACTCAGTGTATTAAGAACATGTAACTATGTAAATAGGCTTAGAAAAAAAGGAAAAGTAGATGAAGCAGTCACTTTTGGCAATCCAGTGTCTTTTCAGGGTTTGTTGTGTATTGAAATGTGTGCTCTTAAATTTCCTATGTAGAAGTCCTTACCCCCATTACTTCAGAATGTGACCTTGTTTGGAAATTGTGTCATTGCCCATATAGTTAAGATGAAGTCATACTGGAGAAGAATGGGCCTCTAATCCGAGATGACTGGTGTCCTTATAAATAGGCAAAATTTAGACAAAGACACTCACATAGGGAGAACCAAGTGAAAAACCTGGGTCACGCCGTCAAGGAACTATGAGGGGCTAGGGGAGAAGCCGGGAACAGATCCTCCCCTGGTGCTTCCCAAGGCGGCCTGCCAACACCTTCATCCCGGCTTTCAGCCTCCAAGACTATGAGACAATACATGTCTGTGGTTTAAGGTACTGAATTTGTGGCACTTTATTATGAAAGCTCTAGAACATTAATATAAGGTTGCAAGCTCCTTAGTGCCAGACAATGGCATTAACAAATGAAGCCTCAAGTCTAAGCAATAAGTGGACTACAGAACAGGAATACGTATTTTTTTGTAAAGATGATCATATTCAAAATCTTAATCATCATCACTACCGCATCTGCTCTTCAAATTTTAGAACAGATGAATTATGATCCCATTGTTTTTTGTCAAAATATCTAATATTACCTTATAAAATATTTAAAAGTTATTACTAAAAAATGGAGTGTGTCTTGTTACCCTAGAGGGACAATAATAGAAATGGTGTTATCTTTGTTTCTTAGTGAGCTTTCTTCTTGGTGCGTCTTGGAAGTTGGTGATATTCTGAAACACACTATCGGCACCTGCACTGTTCACATTTACACGTGCCTTCTTCCCTTTTTATTTTGCTCATTAAGCCTAACCTTTCCTCATGACCCAGGTTTAGTTTTCTATGATACCTTCACTGGCTTTCTTATTGGAGCATTCACAATTTACTCTCTGTTTTCAAGGGGCATGCCCTTTATAAAATAGGTAACATCCATGCACATTCAACTAAAAATGCAATATAAGATTCTAAAAGATCTCTGTTATTAAGAAATGGGTCATGGAATTGTTAGAGTAGGTACATAGCCAGACATGAGCAGAAAAAGGAGAGGAGGGCATTCAGCTAGATGCTTGCTTATATTCCACAAATTCTGTGCAAGCTGTTTCTGTGAGATGTGGAATGAGAATACAAAACTGGCTGGTTCCAACATGGAGTAGAAATTGACCCTGACTTCAACTCCACATACACTATACACTCACTAACATAGTGAAAAATCACACTTCACCTTGCAATAAAGTTCCAATGGGGACCAAATATAGTCAAAAACCTTCCCTGTCCCATGTGAGGGTAGAGCAAGCCTGAACTCCAGCAAGACTCCATTTGTTCCCTGTGAAACTTAACCCTGCTTAATGAATATTCATTTCCCTTCATATTAAAAAGGCTCCTATTGTTCCCTTGGCAGTACCCCTCTGGGTCTGCCCAGGCCCCAACTCTCAAGTATGTACTCTTTCCTTGTTCTAAACTAAATCTCCAAATAACTCTTAATGCTCAGTGCCTTTTCTGTATCTGTTCTTAAATTGATTTTGCAGAGAGACCAAGGACCCACCGCTGGTAACAGTGTACTGGGGTCCACTCCAGAAGGATTTTCAGAGGGGGGCATAAGGAATAGGTGAGGAGCACCATGGAGATTGTTTCAGGCTTATAGGTATTTGCCCACAGCTTCCGGATGGGATGGTCAGACCCAGAGCTGCCTCACTGGGAGAAATCCTAAAAGTTACTGATAGGCTGAAGTCCTTATTGATAATTGTGTTTTCTTACAACTTTTGCAAAATGAGATTGATGGTCAAATACAAAATGAATGCCTGTATCAGGATTTTTAGGGAATGATACTGCTTTTCACTAGAACCAAAAAATAAAAGAGACTTGTTCCGGGTCATTGATACTGAATTCCCATAAAGTATCAAATGTCCTTTTAAATGAACTATTAACAATTCTCGTTCAATAATTATGGTAAACACTAACTTGAAAAACAATGTAAAGAATTCATAAATATTTTTCTTTCATCAAAATCTAGATTCTATAATGTAAGGAGGCTAAATAAAGACTGGAACATAAATTGTCATATTATATATATTATATATATATGTGGTATGACGATAAAATACAGAATGTTTTTTATTCTATTCCTTTGTCTAACATATTTTGGGTACTTTCTGAGCCTCCTTGTTTCACACAGGGAGCAGATTTAGTGCCTGCGACTCACTCAGATGACAAAACCTCCCACAGCGCCCTGGTGCACACAGACAGGCACTGCACACCCCGTGGCCATGGCCGCTGTTGGCGCAGTTACGTTTCCTTTTGCAGTTCTTCCCGAAGAATCCTTTTGGGCATCCTGGAGGGCAGAAGGACAAACAAAGCAAATATTAACCCACATGTAAAAACTTGCTAGAGCTGTTGCTACATGAAATAAAGGGTTGACAAAAGGTAAGTTGTTTCCAGTCTGATGGGGCTGAGTCTAGAGAGCTCTTTCAAAAAGCACAAATGTGATTTTATGTCTTCTCCCTAAAATTCTACAATGACTTATCATTGTTGCCAGGTTAAAATCTCCAGACTTAACAAGAGCTACATGTCCCTGCACTGGCTGACCTCATGATGCCGTAATAGCTCCCCGACTGACCTTTGTTCCACCAGCTGATGTTCTTCAGCTTCCTCGAGGGCACCTCACTTTTTCCCACTTCAGAGCCAGGCAACATGTGGTCCTCTCAGTCTCACGTGTCTCCTTTTTCGGCAGGCTTCTCTGCTCAAGTGTTAAGTGATACGTCTCTTGAAGTTGCCCCCTGGCTTACACAGTCTACAGTGTGCTCATGGTCTGGCCTCAAAGCATACATTAATACTTAATTTGTAACACCTAACAACATTTGTAACCTAAGTCTGTTTTGAACAAGACAGTAAGTTCCACATGGAAGGAGATCATAGTCTTATTTATTTAATAAATATTTTTTGTTACCATGTAAAGCCTTCCAAACACTTTACATATATTAACACACACAAACACTTATGTGCCTGTGAATATATATATAACATGTATATAAACATACATACATATGTATATGTATATAGTGCATATACACATATAAATTCATTAAACGAATAAACATTGTTCAAGGGGATGAATGACTGGGATGCCAGCATGAGCCTTCCTGCACCTCTCAGAGAGTACAGTAAACTTGGTTTCTATATCTCTTATTCTGTGATCTCTGAGAATCTAATAAACTCCCATGATTTCTGGCAATCCCTGAAAACCTCTATCTCCACTGACTCTGTCTTCTGTTTTTGTGCCTATATAAGCAGTTTCTTTTTTGTGCTTTTTCAACTCATGTAGAAAATGTGGCCCTTCCCTGGTTTCCCTGAAAAATCTACACACACTCAATGGTATTCTGTCAGTTTTTTATACACCATTCCTCCTCTCTTTTCCTTTTTCTCTGCTCTCCATTTCTTCACTAATTTTCATCTCTTTTCCTCCCAGGTTTGCCCAGGAGATCTTTTTTTCTTCCTTTTGTTATGCAGAAAAAATAAATTCTCCTAAGCTCCTATATATCTAAACCTGCACACACAAAATCAAGTTTTTGCTCAGTGGAAGAAAAAGATTTTCTCTGTATAAGGATTCATCCTGTTTAGAGCATAGTTGGAGATTTAAGTATCACTTCTTTTGTTCTATTACACATGTCATCAGTCAAAGCAGTTGTACTCTTGTCTACATACTCAGTTTTTTACTCCTTCAGAAAAAGCCACCTTGAAAAATACAGATGCAACTTCTGTTTACTTCATTTCCCATCAGAAACCTGAAGAACTTAAAAAATTACCTCATATGACGAGCCCAGACCTTCCTACTGCCTGAACAGGCTTCCCAGTGAACCCCCCGGGCAGAGGGGCACTGGCACCTCCCCATCAGAGGGTCCCAGGTGCCTCCATTCTGACAATCACAGGCATTGCCACAGTCTCTCCACCTGGTCTCCCGAAACCAGGCAGTGAAGAACACAGACAAGGTAAACAAGCAGTGCAATATACTCGTTTGAGATACAAAAGGAGAAAATGAAAGCTGTCTTTCTGTTAGACTGAGTAATTAAAATCTCTGCAGCTTGCAGATCCAGAAAGTCTCTGGCTTGCTCCTGGTTTGGATGGCAGAACCACACCTGCAGGGTTGTTGACACAACTAGTTAAATGACAGTGACCGAAGAACTGCTATCCAGGGTCACTTGCACACTTTACCTCCTTCCTGAAACTCCAACCCTCACATTTTTAAAGCTTCCTAGATATCTTGCCTGTATAACTGTCACCAATCTTAATGAGAAGTAAACTGCACCTTCTATTTTGAAAAATGCGAAGAAAATGTTGCAAAGCAATGTCATGTTATTTTTAACCAGGAATGAATGTGACTGAGACTGTCTTGAGAGGCCCAAGGTGATTTGCATGGTCAAGCACTGATGAAGTCAAGCTAACCACTGTTTGGCTTTTTGGGAAATGTTTAGTATTCCAGTAAAAAAAAATTGAGAGAAATATCTGTAATTTCAAGTTTAACTTGAGGAAATTCCAAGTGTTGAGATAATTTCAGTAGCCATCTTAATGGACATTTTATCAAAATGATTGAATATTATAAAACTACATTTATATCATTTCCTCTACCTGCCCACCCATCCCATTCCAGATGCTAATATGGAAACTTGGCTTCTTAGTTACTTTTTTCTTTGTTTTCAAGGAGGAGGATACTATGAAAAGCAAAGGAAAGGAAGTAAGGGAAAGAAACTGGTAGCAAACATGGATTGAGGCCTATGGTGTTAGGTATTAATTTACATATAATGAGCCTTTGTATTCTTAGAGCAACCATAGAGGGGGATAATTTTTAAAAATATACCTTGAAAATGAAGCAAAAGAAGTTAAGTAGCTTGCAGAGTGTCTGGATTATAGCAAGTCACCAACATTGGCAAACCAACACTACATCCCTACAAAGTAGAATATGAGATAATAATAGCACAAGAATTTCCTAAATATCTCACCAGCATCAAACAGAGCAATTATCCTGGAGAAGAAAATTTTAAAATAAGCATGTCCCACACCACAGCTGGATGACTTGGAAGAGGTCAGTTTTGTATGGCTGAGTTTGTCGAGTTGCAGGTCAACATAGGTGGGCATCTCAATACCAAGTTCTACTCATTTGTTCATTCACCCAATGGGAGGCACTTGAATAGGACCTGGCCAATGAGCTTTCAGTCTAGTAAGGGAGACAGAACAGAAGCATAGCTAACTCTAACCCAATGTAGAGAGAGAGGGAGGGGCAGAGACAGAAAGCCTGACTTGCAACCCACTAAAAATAGAAACAGTTGTGGTTAGACTGGGGCCATCAAATGAAGCTTCATACAATAAGCGGCAGTAGACAAAGATGGCAGTTGAACAAAAGGCACAAAGCTGAACAGTGCAAAGCATTAAGCAGTGAGTGGTTTAGTTTGCTGGAAATAATAAGCTTTGTAAAGAGCTGTAATTAGTATAGAAAGAGAAAAGGACTTATGAGGTCCTGTGTGTGGATTGTTACAGTGACTAGATTAGAAGTGTATACTTTATGTAGCAGGAAATGGGACACTCAATGTTTTTTGAGCAGCAGCAAAACATGAGCAGAGGGAGGCTTGAGGAAGATCTTCAACACCCTAAGTAGTAATTTTGGAATAACCACTTCACTTGTTAAGACTCATGTTTTGCATCTATCTCATAAAAGAAACAATATCTGTGCTCCTTCATCCCATACACAGGAGGTTTGAAAGAAGACCTGCTCATATCACCTTCCAAGCCAATCACAAAGACTAAAACATTTGATTAAAACATTTCTAAGGTAAATTTGAAAAGAGAAAGAGGAAACAAAGATGGCCAATACATTTTGTTTTTATTGGCAGTTTAGTATCTGCAGTATACCTTCATTTAAAATATAAAGGGAAAGATTTATTAGAAGTATCAATTTTCAAATCTGTGATATTTTCTCACCAAAGACTCATATAAAAAACCTAAAAGTATCATTGGCTGCACTAACCTATTTTTAAAAGAAAAAAAAAGATAAACTACTCAAAAAGAAGCAGCAGTCAAGCAGTGCTATTAATTGCACTTTATAACACAAACCTTTTCTTCTTTTCCTTCATTGGGAATAGCTTGCCAGGGCATAATGATTTATTTAAATGGAGGGATTTTTATAGGCCTAGAATATTAGGATCCTTTATTAACTCTCATGTTTTGTGGATAAATGAGAGACAGCACCAGGTTCCCAGGGAACACAAAATCTCCCTTTTAATCACATGTTCAGTTTAAAACCTCAGTGCTTCACAGGCGTTCTTTATGCACAGCAAATAAATTGTGGTTTCTCACTCTTATCGATTGCTTACCTTGTTAAGGCATTTTACAGAGAACACATGTAAAGGAGAGCTCATCACCCTCTTACCTGTTCCTCCAACTATTACTTGCTATCATTACAAAGAATGCCTCCCCAGCCAGCTGGGCACCTGCCTCAGTTCATGTAGTCCCCACAGCTCAGACTGCGATCATGTCTGAAAGTGTGATCTAAACAGACTGGAAGTGAAACAATCTTGGTTTGTCCAAACTGCCTACCTCACTGAAAATGGAAATAAAACTGTGCATTTCTCAAAAAGTGTCCTCCAGTTTGAAAACAGAGAAAAAGTGACTAAGAAGCCAAATTTCTGTATTAGCATCTGGAATGGGGTGGTGGGTAGGTAGAGGAAGTGATATAAATGTAGTTTCACAATATTCAACCATTATGATGAAATGTCCATTAAGATGGCTACTGAAATTATCTCAACACTTGGAATTTCCTCAAGTTAAACTTGAAATTACAGATATTTCTCTCAATTTTTTTTTACTGGAATACTAAACATTTCCCAAAAAGCCAAACAGTGGTTAGCTTGACTTCATCAGTGTTTGACCATGCAAATCACCTTGGGCCTCTCAAGACAGTCTCAGTCACATTCATTCCTGGTTAAAAATAACATGACATTGCTTTGCAACATTTTCTTCCCATTTTTCAAAATAGAAGGTGCAATTTGCTTCTCATTAAGATTGGTGACAGTTATACAGGCAAGATGTCTAGGAAGCTTTAAAAATGTGAGGGTTGGAGTTTCAGGAAGGAGGTAAAGTGTGCAAGTGACCCTGGATAGCAGTTCTTCGGTCACTGTCATTTAATTAGCTGTGTCAGCAACCCTGCAGGTGTGGTTCTGCCATCCAAACCAGGAGCGAGCCACAGACTTTCTAGATCTGCAAGCTGCAGAGATTTTAATTACTCAGTCTAATAGAAAGACAGCTTTCATTTTCTCCTTTGGTATCTCAACGAGTATATTGTACTGCTTGTTTACCTTGTCTGTGTTCTTCACTGCCTGGTTTTGGGAGACCAGGTGGAGAGACTGTGCCAACACCTGTGATTGTCAGAATGGAGGCACCTGGGACCCTCTGATGGGGATGTGTTAGTAGCTGTCCTGGGGGACTCATGGGAAAACCTGTCTGGGCAGTAGGAAGGTTGGGTGCTCAATAAGAAAAAAAGCGTCATCCTTGAGCATATTTCCTAATACCAGAAAAAAAGACAATAGCAAAGAGACATCTTTTTAAATATAGCTTCAGATACAGTCCCTAAACAATACTTGGAATATTTAAGAAACTACAAAAATGAAAAATTACCATTGATTCCTGAACATAAAAATAGTCAATGTTTCTGGCACTTTGATGTTTTTCCTTCTGGGCTTTTTATGTAAAGTTTTGTTTTCCAAGTAACCCTTTTTATTGAGTTTTAATATACATGCAGAGCAGTGCCACAAACTTGTATACATTTTATGCTTTTTTCACACAATGTAAACAACCCCACATAAATGCCACCAGATCAAGACAGAGATTGTTACCAATTCAAAAACTCAAAGGTAACTCGATTCTTAATCATTAGCCTCACAAATAAAACACTCCCCTGGTTGCTATCACCATAGATCATTTTTCCTTATTTTTGGATTTTATATAAATGTAATCATAAAGTATGTACTCTGTTTCAATATAATGTTTATGAGACTCACCCATATTCTGTGCATACTAGTTTATTTTTAATGGCTGTGTAGTATTCTATTGCATAAATGTACTGCAATGTGATTTCCATTCTATTCTTGAGAGAGATTACCTTCATCTGAATAAAGATGTAGAAACTTGATTTCAGTTTTAATGTTCAATTTTTGCCCCTATTTTTTTGTTGGGGTCTTTCAGATGTTCTGATCAAAAGTTTGTCATGTTTAGCAAGATCTCTCTCTTTTGGCAGGTTCTGACCTCCCCATCACTACAATACTGTTGATAACTGCATGCAGATCCTCACCCGCATAGCAGCTATCTGTATACTTTCTGGATTCTCTGCCTGCAGAGCCCATACACTAGCAAATGGCTCAGACATCTCACTTGTCTGAGCTTCTCTTCTTTCCTGATCTTGGCCACTCCAATTTTGAATACTTTGGCAGCCCTAAACTATTTCTATTCTGACTTTGTGTAGCCAAAGTATCAGAAGCTTAATTTAAAAACTTGAAAGCATCTCTATTTTTATATAGATGTCTTTATTGGTATTACAATTGACCACAGCATAAAAACACTTTGGCCATTTTACCCAATGCTTTCTTTCTGAAGCAATCATCAAACTTTGATATTGTTAAAATACAACAAATAGAGGGAGAACAAAAAGAGCAGCTCTGTTTTACAAAGAGAAAAAGGAAAAGCAGCACCAGACTGGCTGCAAACTGTTACTTTTAAAAGAGGTTATGCTAATTTATTTTGATCAGAAGTGATTTGATGGTTGAATTCTGTTGCATGGATATGTAAAAAAAACTGCTCACATTTCTAAAGATATTTTTCTTTGTCCACTTGAGCATATTGAACAATTGGTTTCTGGCATTTTAAAATCTAGAAAGGATCTAAATTTTAAGGTTAATTAAGGTAAATTTCAACTATACAATAGTGACTTCTAGTGGAGTTTTAGTAGAATTAAGAGGTCCCATTATGCTAAGATGTTTTTCACCTCTGTTTCATTCTTTCATTGTATTGCACTTCAACAGCCCCCCACCACTGTGAACCCCCATTTCTACACTTACCTACATAACTCTATACCATTCAAAAGAAAGAGGGAAGAAAGACAAATGATGATGAATTTGATAAGAAGCTTCTGAGAAGTAATTTTGTCCCTGCTAACATCATCTGAAAACGTTGGATGGCATTAAATATTGATAATGAAATTGTCCATAAGACAATTTATGTGAATTATGTAAAAATAAAAAAAAAGGTGAGCATAATGAGATAAATTCTTTTGACTCACCCACTCTGTGCAGTCAGTTCTCCTCTAACATTATGTCCTCTTTCCCCTGTTCTCACGTTCATAGGTGGGAGGCAGAGAGGTAGCAACATAATGAAGCAGTAGAGGGAGGCCCCTGAACAGGAGGCCTGGAAACCTCACAACTTCTAATTCTTCTTCCTCTAACTCATCATCATCTAAAGCTAAGACCACACAGCCAAATGCCTGGCTTCAGCATGTGGGTAAAAGAAAGTAAAACTGAGCAAGGGTTCATGAGAGAAATGACAGAGTTTGAACTAGACAGCCAAGCAGGGGGCAACTGAGAGGTACAAGCCTTTGAGAAGGCCGTTTCAAAAGGCCTATTGTAAATGTGGGTGAGGAGCAGCATGCACAAAGTTGAAATTGCAGTAGGGAGAACAAAAGAAAAAGAAAGACCTCAGTCTGTGGAGAGAGAAAGGCGAGGACAGGTAGAGTGAAGAAATACGTGGTCTCTCTTGCTCCTGAAGAACAAAATGAAAGTCAAAGTAGTTTGAAGAGAGAAAATAAAATTCTTCACAGTGACTTACAGATGCAAGTTTTCCCACCACTTCCAATTCTGTAGCCTTCCTCACAAGGGCAGTCGTATGTTCCCACAGAGTTAATACGGAGCTGGTCACAGGCTGTAGTGACATCCAGACACTCATTCACATCTAGGAAAATTTAAACAATGTCTGCTTTTAGGTGTTGAGAGATAAAATAGACATTTGAATCCATGGGCTTATTTGTGTTCCTTTTGTCACCTTTATTGACCGGTAACTGTTTTGCCATAAAGGAGAGCTCCCAAATTCTTCCTGAACTATTTTTCCTCACTCACTTTTAAGTTCACTGTAGTTCACATAGACAGTGGCTTTCTGAGACCTTGTTCATGAGATTTGGATGAAGAATTTAAAGAATTTAAAACGAATTCAGTGGTCTCAGGCTGTGTGCCATTTTACAGAATGTTCACTCACTCTTGAATTATTCAATATCTATAATAAAGCCTTTATTCCATGCATAATTCTGTACAAGGTTTGTGGAGAGTTTTAGCTGGAAGGATCCTGAGCTTTGATCTAGTGTGCCTTACTGATATGTCTGAGCCCAGACTTTGGGTCATGTGTTTATGATACTACAAGTTAATTTATGAAGTTGAGTTTCTAAGCACTGCATCAAATTGTGGACACCTTTTCCATTTGGATGTGTGTATCTAAGTATGTATATTCATGCATACAATCATCTCTTGGCTCACTCTGTTTAAGAGCAGATGGTACATGAAATTCAATTTTTTTTGGCCCTGTTAATTGGATGGAATTTAATAAATGGTAATGTACTCTGCTGTGTTTAAAATATATAGACATCATCGTTGTGTATTCTCTGCTATTATCCACACTGCAAAGCTGGGGGCTTTTGGCTATCTACATAAAGAAACCATTATCGTCAACAAAATTCAGAAATTTAAAGAAACACGATTTCCTCTGAAGTATTAAATTTTTGTATGTACATTTGACTATTATTGCAATAAATATCAGTCTTCTAACCTTTGCTGTAATTTCAAGAAAAATGTGGTTCAAAATAATAGTAATAATGATCAAAAATAAGAATTTAAAGATGGCATATTTAAGGTAAACTTTTAAAATAAATTATAGCAATGACTTACATAAACTGTTCTTAATGGTATAAAAAGTGATATAAAATGGTATAAAAATATAAAAATCTCCATTCACTAAATTGAAACTCTCCTGCAATATATATGTGTGTATATATATTTTTACATATGTATGTGTATATTAATACATGTATGTGTATATATCAATATACACATATATGTATATATGCTAATACAAATATGTATGTGCATATATTAACTTAATGCATATACATATGTATGCATAAATGCAAAAGTTAAGAAACATCTGAAAGGTAAGTGAACCAATTTTAACAAATAAACTAGGAAATTGCAGAATGACTCATTTTAAAGCTTGCATTAGCTAGATTAATATCACATACATAGAGGATTCTGATATGGATTTAGACTGTGGCTCATGAACTGGCAATTCTTTTGCTTTGACTAATTAAAATGACTTTCAGTAACCAACTTTTTAATTCCAGTCAAGCTTGCCACGGGTGATTCCTATGGCAATGTGCTATGGCCTGCCTGAATTTCGCATATGCCTACATATATTAAATTAGATAAAAGAGATTATGGGCCAACGGATATTATAATAATAATAGTTGCTTTTAGTTGAGTGATTTTTTTTATGCCAATCACTATACAGGCAATTTACATTTATTAGTTTCCTAATCTACCTAGTAATTCTATTATTGTCTTCACTTTACTGATAAGGATCTGAGGCTCAGAGCAATCAGAGTCACCCGGGTTCATACAATAGTAAATGGTAGAACCACATAGAAATCCAAATCTCTCTAGTGTCAAAGCCTCTCCTTCTCCACCCTAACCCTCTGCCCTCACACGTCCCTCCCTCATTGATCGCCACACCAGATCAGTGATTTCATGTTGGATCTCAGAAATTTACCATCACATCCACAACCATCAGAACTGATCTGAAAGCCTTCCTGACAACTGCATTCATAGCTGCCTAAACAGCTGATGCGGAGCTGGGCACAGCAGGCATCTCCACTCTCACATTCATCAATGTCTGTGGGGAAAGGATATTTCTGTTATTTAAGAGACAGGAATTTAACCAATCTATAGAAGTGCTGATAAGCCTCCCTTCTAAATTAAAACTGTTTTACTTATCATTTTCTATTTCTCAGGCTCCATAATACAGATACCGTATTACAGAAGAAACTGTAACACAAAAAGAATAAGGACCACATTTCGGTTTATGTTTCCAGCATGCTTCTCCAATGCCTGTTATTTATTTTCAAAGTATATCAAAAAATCTCCAAATGCATTTATAAGCACAGGAAAAGAGATCCTTGCTAGTTTTCCAGTTTAAATGGCAATCTGACTGAATAAACAGAGACCTTGAAGAACAACAATAAAAAACAGCTTCAGAAAAAGAGCCAAGGAATTCTCTTAATGAGCATTAGAGAGCTGCAAAGAGGAGGCAATGTTAGACTCCATACTATGTTTGTCCTTCTAGAACTTTGGATGAGCATTCCCAGGTAGAAGGAACTTACAACTGAGAAGAGAAGTGGTAACTGCAATTTGAGTGAGGGCAGAAAATCATTTTAGATACTATGTTTTAGATGACAGAATATTTTAGAGTATTTGCTTCAACTTTTCAATGATGTTTTGACTGAGATGAGTGAGGTCTGGGGTTTTTTATTACACTTGGTGACACCCTGGCATGTCCTATCAGATACACAGCTTTCTAAATTATCTTTAAGTCTCTGTAAACACTATTATTCTAGAATTCTGTAGTCCTGAATGTTTCTTTCTAAGACATACTTGCCTCAGGGAAAATAAAAATGCACCAGAAGATGTCAAATTGAAACCCTTCAGTCAAAGAATAATCCATTTGAGTTTTGAGGTGGTCACTTCTAACATAATTGGCTGAGGAGAGCAATAGACTCTTCACCCACTATTTCCTTAGGCTAGACACTGAAGTTGTGCTCAGTGGTTCTAGCAATAGGACTATGGTTCAATTCAACTCCCTCTGTTTGTTGAGCTGTTAAGTTGGGTGGCCTGTCAGCACTGAGCTTTCAAAATTCCATTGCTCCACAACTACATGAACAGCCACAGATAGAAAAGGTCAGCATCTCAATTAACCTTGGAAAGGGTACCAATGTAAGGAAATGCAGATAAGAGAAGGGAATGAAAGAAAATGCCATCAATCAACCAGTGTGAGGGGTCACCATAAAATATCTAAGTGAGGGTCATTTGGATACCAAACACTTTTTCTCTTGAAAAATGTCACAAGCTCTGCTACTCACAAAATTCTCAATGACATTTTTTCCTTTATTAAACCTGCCTCTGCCCACTGAATTACCTAGAATAAATATAGGAGACAAAGAAACTTTCAAATAAGTTTGATTTCATCTAACACATTATTCTTTGTACTTTTGGGGGTTAAATTTGTTTTCTTCTTAATTTCAAGATTTTTAAAGTGTTCTCGGATACCATCAGACCTTCCCAAAACAAAGGTCTCAGGATTCCCTGTTCTCAATTAGCAAGGAACACATATGCATCACACAACTGGAAAATTAGTTCCTTAGTCTATTATTTATGACCCATTTTGGATTCTTCTATTGTCATCTCTCTGGGTCTATTTTGAGCTTGTCCCATGTATACCATCCTCAGCCTGGAACTCATCTGAAACACCACCCTTGCTCTCTCACAGGCCTTTCTAAAATGGCCTGTCCCTTCAACTCTTATAACATCTGTTTTCTAAGAGTTTTTTAAAATTCATTTTCAGATCTTATTTGATGTGATCTTTGCTTTTTTATTTTCCCTTTGAATGTGCTTCCTCTCTGAGAATCATATTTTCCTATATAGGCCAATAATTTTAACATTGTGGAGAAATTCACCTGTACATAAAAATTTAGCCCTAGTAAAAAATAGAATATCATAGTCAGGCAAAACAAAAATTTCAGCTCTGACTTCAGAAAAGCATGAAAGTAAACTTTGAAAAAACATAATCTTCTCTGTTTTCCATACATAGTCTCTGAATAAAGCTCCAAAGGTTAGAAATTAGAAAAATTATTTTCTAATAACTGTCAATTGTTAAATTTAGTAAACTTAATTGCTGGACAGACTCTTACATTTTGGAAAGCTGTCTTTCAAATGTTAATGTATCTCAAGGTTTTAGCCCTAATAAAATTTCGTATTTGGGCAAGACTGATTGACCGTTTGCAGACTGGATGACTCATTTTCACATTCATTTATACATTCTCATAAAAAAAAAAGTTAATCCTAAATAAGCTAAAAAGAAATTTCTTTAATTTCCTTCATGTGTGAATGTTTCTATAAAGCATTTAAAGCCTTAATCTGTTCTCAGGCAAATAAGCAAAGTATCTATATGTATACTCGAAACAAATCATTGCTTTTACTCTAGTGAATATGTGGTCTTTAGGAATGAGTGTTATTTATTGTTGGAGAAAGAAATAAACTTGAGCCATAAACAATATAATGTTGTCATGTTGACTTGCTGAAATCTCATAAATATGCAATTTTCTACATTTTGACCCTGGCAGATGCTATTTTTTCTAGCTATAAATAAGAAGTTTACTGAATTGTACTTTTCAAAGAAAAAGGAAAGATACCAAATTGCAGCAGTTGCCAACATAAGGTTTAGAAAAATTCTAGTGTCCCTTATCCAACAGTTAAAAAAGGAAGATAGGAAGGAAGGAAGGGAAGGAAGGCCTTTATTTTTTCCTGAGATATAAATGTTAGCAAGGTAGACAAATATAACCATAATTTTCATTATATAAAAAAGAGGCAAAGGAAGCAATCATTTTTGTTAAGTTAATCGCTCTAGACTCTCAGAAAAATGCAGAGGGCAGTATTGGATCAAGGAATACAAGTAATGACATAGTTTTGGTTAAATAATTTATGAAACCAGAACACTCAAAATCCCTTGAAGTTCACTCTGTCATGTCATAGTGTCAAAATAAAAATCCCAAATACTTAGACCTTTGGAATTCACCTCTTCTTTAATTTATACTCCAATTTGTCTCTAATTATATTGAGTAGCATGAAATGGTCAAAGACTTTTTTTAGTAATTATATCATAATTTTTAGGAAAGGTGATAAAAAGTGTCACAAAAAAAGAGCAAATCTGGTATCTTAATTTCTGAATGATGGCAAATTTCTTTAAGGGCTTGTTGGTGCCTCAGAACCAGAGCCCAGAGTAATACCACTGCATGCTCACTATCCCTACTTTGAGTAGATATTTTTCTCACAGGATCTAAATTCAACATGTCTTATGAAGCAAGGCTGGGTGGAATTTATTTTTCTCATTGTCCCAAACGATATAACATCTAATAATATGTTGGAAAATTCATCCATTAAAAATGGGCATGAGCTGTCTAGTGTCAAAGCCTCTCCTTCTCCACCCTAACCCTCTGCCCTCACACGTCCCTCCCTCATTGATCGCCACACCAGATCAGTGATTTCATGTTGGATCTCAGAAATTTACCATCACATCCACAACCATCAGAACTGATCTGAAAGCCTTCCTGACAACTGCATTCATAGCTGCCTAAAGAGCTGATGCGGAGCTGGGCACAGCAGGCATCTCCACTCTCACATTCATCAATGTCTGTGGGGAAAGGATATTTCTGTTATTTAAGAGACAGGAATTTAACCAATCTATAGAAGTGCTGATAAGCCTCCCTTCTAAATTAAAACTGTTTTACTTATCATTTTCTATTTCTCAGGCTCCATAATACAGATACCGTATTACAGAAGAAACTGTAACACAAAAAGAATAAGGACCACATTTCGGTTTATGTTTCCAGCATGCTTCTCCAATTCCTGTTATTTATTTTCGAAGTATATCAAAAAATCTCCAAATGCATTTATAAGCACAGGAAAAGAGATCCTTGCTAGTTTTCCAGTTTAAATGGCAATCTGACTGAATAAACAGAGACCTTGAAGAACAACAATAAAAAACAGCTTCAGAAAAAGAGCCAAGGAATTCTCTTAATGAGCATTAGAGAGCTGCAAAGAGGAGGCAATGTTAGACTCCATACTATGTTTGTCCTTCTAGAACTTTGGATGAGCATTCCCAGGTAGAAGGAACTTACAACTGAGAAGAGAAGTGGTAACTGCAATTTGAGTGAGGGCAGAAAATCATTTTAGATACTATGTTTTAGATGACAGAATATTTTAGAGTATTTGCTTCAACTTTTCAATGATGTTTTGACTGAGATGAGTGAGGTCTGGGGTTTTTTATTACACTTGGTGACACCCTGGCATGTCCTATCAGATACACAGCTTTCTAAATTATCTTTAAGTCTCTGTAAACACTATTATTCTAGAATTCTGTAGTCCTGAATGTTTCTTTCTAAGACATACTTGCCTCAGGGAAAATAAAAATGCACCAGAAGATGTCAAATTGAAACCCTTCAGTCAAAGAATAATCCATTTGAGTTTTGAGGTGGTCACTTCTAACATAATTGGCTGAGGAGAGCAATAGACTCTTCACCCACTATTTCCTTAGGCTAGACACTGAAGTTGTGCTCAGTGGTTCTAGCAATAGGACTATGGTTCAATTCAACTCCCTCTGTTTGTTGAGCTGTTAAGTTGGGTGGCCTGTCAGCACTGAGCTTTCAAAATTCCATTGCTCCACAACTACATGAACAGCCACAGATAGAAAAGGTCAGCATCTCAATTAACCTTGGAAAGGGTACCAATGTAAGGAAATGCAGATAAGAGAAGGGAATGAAAGAAAATGCCATCAATCAACCAGTGTGAGGGGTCACCATAAAATATCTAAGTGAGGGTCATTTGGATACCAAACACTTTTTCTCTTGAAAAATGTCACAAGCTCTGCTACTCACAAAATTCTCAATGACATTTTTTCCTTTATTAAACCTGCCTCTGCCCACTGAATTACCTAGAATAAATATAGGAGACAAAGAAACTTTCAAATAAGTTTGATTTCATCTAACACATTATTCTTTGTACTTTTGGGGGTTAAATTTGTTTTCTTCTTAATTTCAAGATTTTTAAAGTGTTCTCGGATACCATCAGACCTTCCCAAAACAAAGGTCTCAGGATTCCCTGTTCTCAATTAGCAAGGAACACATATGCATCACACAACTGGAAAATTAGTTCCTTAGTCTATTATTTATGACCCATTTTGGATTCTTCTATTGTCATCTCTCTGGGTCTATTTTGAGCTTGTCCCATGTATACCATCCTCAGCCTGGAACTCATCTGAAACACCACCCTTGCTCTCTCACAGGCCTTTCTAAAATGGCCTGTCCCTTCAACTCTTATAACATCTGTTTTCTAAGAGTTTTTTAAAATTCATTTTCAGATCTTATTTGATGTGATCTTTGCTTTTTTATTTTCCCTTTGAATGTGCTTCCTCTCTGAGAATCATATTTTCCTATATAGGCCAATAATTTTAACATTGTGGAGAAATTCACCTGTACATAAAAATTTAGCCCTAGTAAAAAATAGAATATCATAGTCAGGCAAAACAAAAATTTCAGCTCTGACTTCAGAAAAGCATGAAAGTAAACTTTGAAAAAACATAATCTTCTCTGTTTTCCATACATAGTCTCTGAATAAAGCTCCAAAGGTTAGAAATTAGAAAAATTATTTTCTAATAACTGTCAATTGTTAAATTTAGTAAACTTAATTGCTGGACAGACTCTTACATTTTGGAAAGCTGTCTTTCAAATGTTAATGTATCTCAAGGTTTTAGCCCTAATAAAATTTCGTATTTGGGCAAGACTGATTGACCGTTTGCAGACTGGATGACTCATTTTCACATTCATTTATACATTCTCATAAAAAAAAAAGTTAATCCTAAATAAGCTAAAAAGAAATTTCTTTAATTTCCTTCATGTGTGAATGTTTCTATAAAGCATTTAAAGCCTTAATCTGTTCTCAGGCAAATAAGCAAAGTATCTATATGTATACTCGAAACAAATCATTGCTTTTACTCTAGTGAATATGTGGTCTTTAGGAATGAGTGTTATTTATTGTTGGAGAAAGAAATAAACTTGAGCCATAAACAATATAATGTTGTCATGTTGACTTGCTGAAATCTCATAAATATGCAATTTTCTACATTTTGACCCTGGCAGATGCTATTTTTTCTAGCTATAAATAAGAAGTTTACTGAATTGTACTTTTCAAAGAAAAAGGAAAGATACCAAATTGCAGCAGTTGCCAACATAAGGTTTAGAAAAATTCTAGTGTCCCTTATCCAACAGTTAAAAAAGGAAGATAGGAAGGAAGGAAGGGAAGGAAGGCCTTTATTTTTTCCTGAGATATAAATGTTAGCAAGGTAGACAAATATAACCATAATTTTCATTATATAAAAAAGAGGCAAAGGAAGCAATCATTTTTGTTAAGTTAATCGCTCTAGACTCTCAGAAAAATGCAGAGGGCAGTATTGGATCAAGGAATACAAGTAATGACATAGTTTTGGTTAAATAATTTATGAAACCAGAACACTCAAAATCCCTTGAAGTTCACTCTGTCATGTCATAGTGTCAAAATAAAAATCCCAAATACTTAGACCTTTGGAATTCACCTCTTCTTTAATTTATACTCCAATTTGTCTCTAATTATATTGAGTAGCATGAAATGGTCAAAGACTTTTTTTAGTAATTATATCATAATTTTTAGGAAAGGTGATAAAAAGTGTCACAAAAAAAGAGCAAATCTGGTATCTTAATTTCTGAATGATGGCAAATTTCTTTAAGGGCTTGTTGGTGCCTCAGAACCAGAGCCCAGAGTAATACCACTGCATGCTCACTATCCCTACTTTGAGTAGATATTTTTCTCACAGGATCTAAATTCAACATGTCTTATGAAGCAAGGCTGGGTGGAATTTATTTTTCTCATTGTCCCAAACGATATAACATCTAATAATATGTTGGAAAATTCATCCATTAAAAATGGGCATGAGCTGGGATTTCCAAAGAACGATATCTTCTGAAGTTTCGTTTGGAATGCAGTTACCTGCCAGACCAAAGCTGGCCACCACCAAAATCACCAAGCTAAAAAGCAACACATATGATTTAGTTTTCTCTTGAGGTAGAGAGAAGTAGGGTACTTGGCAGCATTTGTTGTGTAGATTACAAATTACATTGAAAGATTAGCAAGACCTTGGACTATTTCCCTGAAATAAAACTATTAAACCCATATATTTTGTTAAAGTGTTTAAGAACTCCTTTTACTTCAAGTAAATATCTAAACATAATGGTGTCTTCTGCCAAGTAATTTTTCTTTTACACTTTTCCAGTAACCAGAAGCATGGTTTAATTCATTTTTCCTTGTAGTTTGAGAGATGTGGCTCACATTACAGTAATAACTATTGGAGACAAAAGGACTAAATGAATCCAGGGCAACTTCTGAAGGAAGACAGCATTTACCACACATTCCCTATGCACGTTTTCTCATCTAAGTCAAGCTAGTGTCCATGGTTACAGGAGCAACAGGGCCAGCCAAGGGATGTTCGCAGTTACAGGAACAACCACCATTGTTATTTTCACAGCTATTGACAATTTCCAATTCAACCCCTTTCTAAAACAAGCAAAAAAGGGTTATTAGCACGGCAACAGAAAAGACTGAATGTTCGTCAACAATGGATTAGCTCTCTTGTGAGGATGACAAACTTTATTGGAAATTTATCAACTCCTTACACATGTAAAAGTAAAAGTCTGGGGGTTATTAAGCATTGTAAATATCTATGCCATATCAAAATCCTAATAAACCTATAAATAATGTTAAACTGACTAAGTGATACAGAAAGGTAATAAGTCCACCAGTGGTTATTTAACACTTAAAAAACACCTCTGAGAATTCCCAGTATTTTCAGGATATAAAATATATGTGCATTGAATCAATGATCAGAAAGCAAGTAGATGGTTTGCCAGTTGACATATCTGTTCTCAAGCTAGTGGTATGCTATCTGTCAGTTTTAGAGGCTATGTTGGATACTATTCAAAGTAAAACAGAAGTATGAACACAAAACCACTGAATTATCTGATTCTCTGTAACTAGTATCATGTTGGTATGCTAATCAGCTTTGATTTATATGAAAATCACTTATATAAATACTATTACTTTGAAAATCAATTTGCTGATCATGGCACTTGCTACCATGTTGGGGCATTTTGGGAGACATCAGTCTCAGTATATGGAGCACACAGTCATTAGATTGGTCATTTTCTACCTGAGGAAATGAGAAATAAAAGAATGCTTTGAATCAGTGCTAAAAAGATGGAATTTAGGTACTCTGCTATTTTCACTACTGGCCTCTGTTGTTTTTCATTTGTGTTGCTGGTCACGCTTCTTAAGGAGTGTATCTACCCTGGCTCATTTCTTTTTGTTCTTAACTCCTGAATCCTTTGGAAGTAGAAAGATGAGAAAGAGCAGGACAAGGGTACTTAGGATTGTGCCAGTCCTTGAAAGCCTATATCTGCATTCAAACTGCTGAGGCGTCTGCTATAGATACTGTCCAGTCACAGTGCAGACCTCGTCCTCTGTGACGCCCAGCCTCCTGTCTCCAGCAGGCAGCAGCCCGAAGTGTTCCCAGAGCTCTCAGTGCACATCCCGTCATTGTGCTTATCCCTCTGGGCCTTCACTGCCCTGCATTACCCAGATCGTAACAGATGTTCAGAGACAGGTCGTGAATGGTTAAATAAACAAAAGAAGGATTATGCTAATCAAATTATTATTGAAAATAAGAACCCTTTTGGGCTTAGAAACAGCTAATTTAGGACTAAGCAAAATTAGAAAGCTAAAGGAAAGATTAAAATAATGAAGGCACCTGATATTTTTCATATGCTAACATGCACTCTTTAGGGAGACATTTCAAATTTTGGTTCCTATTATTATTTTCGTGCGATAAGTGCAGCTGTAAGACTGCTAGTGGTAACTTAATTTAAAAGCAAATGATGATTATTGCAACCTAGTTAAAAAATGTGTGTGACTAAAACAAGTGCATACTCAGATCTAAGCCCACTAGAAGTTGCAGTTTTGTATCCTTGATACAGGTGTTAAATAATGCTTAACCATCTGACTTAAGAAAATATTATACTTTAAAAAGACTTTTAAAAATGATTCTTACAGTTTCTCATAGCTAGCAAATAATCATATTTACTCAATACATTAAATATGTATGAAACTTGAGTTCACCTATTTATTGCTTGGTAATTTGGGAGAAGCCTTATTTAAACATGCAGAATCTGAAGTTTTCCAATTTCTAACCACAAGATAGTGGTAATTCATTCACAGCACACTGTGAAGATTTGATGTTCATGCTATACACTGTTTTGAGAGTCTCTGAGATGAAACTACATAAATTCAAAATATTGTTTTCCTATGAAAAAGTTAAAGCAATATCTTCCTAAAATACTGTTGTGATGTGAAGGACATAATTCACTGTTAAACATTACCATGTTCTGAAAACATTTACTCCACCTGCAGGTTTTGAAACAACTCAAAATACCAGTTTTCACCAAGAAAGTTTTATGCGTTGGTTAGTAAATATTGAGATCTGGTGAGAGCTTCACAAAGAACTTAGCCAAATAGTCACATAAGGGAAATAAATGGAAAAACACACTGCTACCAAATGTATTCAACTCTAGGGCAAAGTGCTTTCTCAAGAAAATTCTACAAAAAGCTTGTACCTCATAACTCATTAGCAATAATGGAATAATGGCCTCCTCTTTCATGATAACTGAGAATACACGAGTGGACTGCAAGAGATTTTATTTCAGACATTCGTAAAATGTACTCATCTCCTAAACCACTGGCCACATTAAAAAAACAAATTATTATTAAGAAAGAAAAACCCATTCTTTGTTCTCTTTGCCTAAAAGGACTCCTCAGGGCATTGAGAGAAAGGCTCTCTTCAGAAGAAGTTGTACCCTAATTAGTAGTTAATTCTCCTCCCCCATCTTACTTAGTTTATTCTTTAAGAGACAAATATCACTTGGCAAAGCTGTACTGTCTTTAAGCAGTAGAAATTTATCAAGAGATCTGAGGGCTACACTGGAAATCTAGGTATTAAAGAAACAGAATTTTATGTAGTGGAGGAAAATTAATAACTTACCCTCAGAATGTCTCTTCATGTGAGAGCTTAGGTAAGAATAAAAAATTATTTATTCTATTTATCACTATCTTTATTATTTTTCCTTGATTAAAACTGATAGACATATAATGTGTATAAGATGATGAAGATGAAAGGATAGTGTATTTGGGGCCCAATGACCCTAATTTAGTTCCCAGTTCTGTCACTTACTAATTTTGTATCATTGTATTTTTGGCTTCAACACTCAATGGATGAGGATCTTTGGAACTGAGATTATAAATCAACTATTTTAGTTTGCCAAATTTTGTAATGGGCCCGTCTATTTTGTAATACCCATCAATCAAGCAAGTGGAGATGTTGAGTACATAGTTTGATACATTCACATGGAGTTAGAGGAAGAAATGAAAATACAAATTTGACATTGAGAGAGGGACCACAGACAGAGAAAAACCAGGAAAGTACAAAAATATGGAAGAGAAGATAACATTTCAAGAAGAATGGGGGCTAGTCAACTGTGTTGAAAGCTGCTGCGAGTTCAATTATAATAAAACTAGAGAAGTTAGCATGCATTCTAGCAACATGGAGGTCAAGGGTTACCATGGAGAGATGGAAATCTGATTAGTCTGGAAAGAATTCAAGATGAGGAGTAGATACGGACTAAGTTACAAACACTTTGCTGTCAAGGGGATCAGATTGAAACTCAAGTGGGTTATGGTTTATGGGAGGGTACTTTCAAGATAAGAGATACTGGACCATGTTGATATGTTGATGAGAATGATCCATTAGATAAATGCAATAGCAAAGATCTTGAGAGAATGGAATCCAAAGTATGATGGAGAACTTAGTCTTTGATAGTAATATAATCATTTTTTCCATATTAATAGTAATAAGGGTGAAGATTTTTCCATGAGATTCTGTGAGTTATTTTGGATCAATTAACAGATGATGGTAGTTTGCACCTATTTTACTGAAAATGTAAGAGACAAGAAAAGGATAAGGGAGAGAGGGGGTCTGATTTAAAAATGGGAGAGAAAGAGAAGGTGTTAAACATTCATTTTGATGAGGATGAAAGTAGACATAGTCTGATAGAGTAAATTTGTCTAGCCATGATGTTTAATCACTTGAGATTTATGGTCCTGAGTTTAAAGAAAACAGTTAACATAGTTGAGCTTTGAACACAGCAAAATTCATCTGCCGAGGTATAGATATGAAATACAGAAGTCACTGAGAGAAAGGCAGGGTATGAGATCAGAAGAAATATGAACTCTTGATGTACCATGATCACGTAAGATGCAGAGGCAGAGAAATAAGCCAAAGAAATAAGGAATAAAATTATTCTGTCTTTTGAAAACAAAGGGAAGAAGCAGAGGATGAGTGAGAATGGGAAATACTGAGGTAGAGAACATGGAATCTGAGGGAATTTGTATGATAGTTTTAAGCTTATCCCCCACCCCAAAGGAAAACATTCTCAGAAACTTCTGCTTTGGCAAGATACTCAGTGTCATTCTTTTGTTGGTGACTCTTGTGTAATACCTGTCAAACGCCACACATTTCCAGAGCTCTGATGGTTGCCACCTGCTGTAACACTGTTTCCCATCAGCCCCCAGCTCCAAGCCAGGGCAGCAGGCACGAGTGAGAGATCCCACCGTGTTCACACAGCGACGGCCATGGCGAGAGAACCCTTCGGCACACTCGTTAACATTTGTGGAGAGAGAGGTACAGCAGTTCCATCTCAGGTGCTTGAATTAAGATTTACCTGTAAACTATAAAAATGAACTACAATAGCCCCTTCCCTGACCCTAGGACATCAAGTAACAGCAAAACATAGGCACCATTGGCAAATAAACCAGCCACAAATGACATTAACTCTAGTATTGGTCTAATGCTCTCAAGCACTTCTATTTATTCGAAGTTACTAGTATCTAGTAATTGGGAGAAATAGAAAAACAAACAAAAAATAGATCTTCTCTGCCTCCTGATAATGTAGGTAGAAGTCAATGTAATTTGTCTTTAGGAATATATGTGACATTCTCAACCAAAACTGGTAACTCCCTGATTTAAGGCAGACAGTGTGTAGGGCCAGAGACAAGGCAGATTTGGGGACTTCACATGCAGTAATCCAAAGTGTATGCTGTACATATAGTTGTCACAAGGCAGTGCCACTTAAATTGGTGTCCTCACTCTCTCTCCTGACACTGTTGACCAAGTCTATTCAGTGTAACTTCATTTTGTCGGCCCAAGTAGTCCCTGCTCCTTCCCTTTCAATGAATAGATCTCACCATTTTCCTGACTAGTACTTTCTCCTTGTACTGTCCTGCCTGTCATCTCAACCAGGGCACTTAAGAGAAATATTCATTCTTCCAAGGGGTTTGTAAAACTCTGCATAAGTGGTAATTTTGGACATAGACTTTCTAAGAATAATGCATGAGCTTTAAATTAAATGTTGGAAAGAAACTGGATATAGATATAGATATACAGACATATCTATATATGTATATATTTGCCAATTTTTCCCAAATATTTAATAAGTTGTTATTCTGTGCCAGGTGCTGAGTTAGGCAGGTACTGTGTATGCAGAGGACCAAAGCAGAAATTTTCTCTGTCAACAAAGTATATTAACATACTCCATAGAAAATCATATCTTAGTTTTGGCTTTAAGAGAAAAATAACCCCACTAATTTTTATGCTAACTCTTTTTGAAATTCTCAAAGTGTTTATAAGTCCTACATATCAGGAAACATTTTGGTATTTTTATAATTAATCCAAATAAACCATTTCTCATTTCACGAGAATGTCATGATAAAAATGAAGGATTCTGTGATTTCTCAGAAGTTATTAAAACAGAGACTGTCCCACAGGAATGACTGCATTTATCAGATTTGGTCGTAGAGTAATTTATCACTTTCATCTTTGGATTGAAGTATATTTGTTTTGCAATTTCTAGGAAACAGAAATATGTAACCTTGTATTTATAGAGTTTCTTTCTTTTTGGTTTTAATTACTCCCAAATTCTGAGAACACTCATTTGCACATACTTGCTTTTCAAAGGTTATCCCCACCTTCTGTAGCCTATAATAAAAAACTCCCTGTGTGGTTATGGAAGGTTTTGAAATATTAATTCTGGAATTCACTTCAAAATGAGAAACAGAAAACAAAAAGCATTAATTCTGAAACTATCCCAGGACTTGTTTTTGTAACTAAAAATTTCACTGAGTTTCTATACTATCATAAAAAATACCCTTCAGAATGATCAAACGAGAATATAAATGTTCCTTTTTAAGCATAAATGAAAACACCTTTCTGCTAGCTGTTCTTATTATTCAAAACCGAATTACCACAAAATTTCAAACAATTACACAATTAAGCCATCAGCTTCAACTTCCTACCTCCACAGGTTTTTTTTTGTCTTCAGACAGCTGGTACCCTGGGTGACAGGCATACCTGGCCACACCATTTTCACTCTGACAGATGTGGGCACATCCATTTCCACCTGTGCAGGGGTCCATCTCTGAAAGCAATTAAGCAGGGATAGTTTTCAATGCATTAATTTCAGAAAGAGGTACAGAGTGCAAGGACGGAAAAAGGTTCAGGGGGAGCTGGCGCCATTGGGTTTCTCACATAAGGACCGTAAGGCCTCAGGAAAGCCCTTCTCCACTTTCACATCTATGTCTAATCCAAAAAAATGTTTCCCCTTTTGTGATCTGAACAAATCTGAACATGGATCAGGGCCAAAGAAGAAGTAGCTTAATTTCACTCTCCTCAAAAGTCTATCTGCTGCCCTCTGGTATATCTGCAGTTAAATGGAGTCGGGAGGAACTCTTCTATACATCTGTATTTTTCAGCTCTCCATACCTTCTCTACTCCTTTGAGCAGCAGAATCATCCTTAGATAAACCTTTTACCTCCTCTAGGCCTCCCGTGCCTTTGGATAAGCAACCACAGTGTGAGAAGAAGGCTGACTGGAATGACATGGGAAGTCTTGGGTACAGCTGCTGTGGAGATGGATCCCACCGGAATTAAGTCAGCTGGCCTCCTTCTCCCCATCGCTTGCTCCTGTCCTAATCCATTTTAGTCATATTCTCTGGAGATCCAAAGGAATGTGAAGTTACTCATCCTATAGGGAGTATCCCCAGACAGAAATCATACGTTGCACTTATGACCTAACTGATTCTCACTTGACTCTGTGAATCCAGCCATGTCTACATTATAGGCTTCTGGGTAGGACTGCAGAATTTTTACTCCTGTTCCTGTCCAGACTTTTTTTTTCTATAATGTATAGAATATAAAAACCAAAATAATATATAAATCTACTCTGTCCCCATGTTTACCCAGTTCCAACCCAACCACTACTATACATAACTGCTTTCCTGCATTTCTTATGAGTCCTTTCTTTATGAAAATAAGATTTACACACACACACACACACACACACACTTTCCACAGATACAATATATACTGTTCTGCTCCTTGCTTTTATGGTAGGGTGAGATTGAGTTGAATCTGTAGGTTAGTGTTGGGGAGTACTGCCAATATTAAGTCATCTGATCCATGAGCATGAGATGCTTTTCTATTTATTTTAGGTCTCATTTATTTCAACAGTGTTTTATAATTTTCAGTATATAATTTTTGTACTTCACTTATTCTTATATATCTTAACAAATTTATTATAAGATACTAATTTATTTAAGATATAAATTTATTCTTATATATCTTTTCCTTTCTGATGCTATTGTAAATAGAATTGTTTTCATTTTTACGTCCATATTTTTCATTACTAGTGTATAAAAACCAATGGATGTTTATGCATTGGGTTTATATTCTATAACTTTGTTGAACATTTTTATTAGTTCTAATAACTTTTAAGTGAATTCCTTAGGATTTTCTATATACAAGTCATGTCACCTGCAAATAGAGATATTTTACTTCTTCCTTTCCAATATTGATGCTTTTTATTTCATTTTCTTACCTTATTGTTCTGGCTAAAACCTCCAGTACAATGCTGAATAGAAGTGACATGAACAGACATCTTATTTCTTGTTCCTAATCTTAAAGGGAAAGTTTTCATATTTTACAATTAAGTATGATGTTAGCTGTGGGTTTTTCATTTTCATAGGTTCCCTTTGTCAGGTTGAGAAAGTTCTATTTCTAGTCTGTTGAGTTCTTTTATTATGAAAGGGTGTTGGATTTTGTCAGGTGTTTTTTTCTGTATCTATTGAGATGATCATATAGCTTTTGTCCTTTATTCCATTGACATGGTATATCAAGTTTATTGATTTTCAGATGTCAAACCAACCTTGTTTTCCTGAGATAAATCCCACTTGATCATAGTGTATAATCTCTTTTATATGTTGTTGGAAGTGGTTTCTTGTTATTCTTTTGTGGATTTTTATATCTATATTCATAAGAGATGTTGGTCTATAATTTTCCTTCTTGTGATATCCTTGTCTGGTTTTGGTACCAGTGTAATACTGTGAAATGAGTCGGGCAGTGTTTCTCTCCTCTTCTGTATTTGTCAAGAATTTGTATTAATCTTTAAATGTTTTATATAATTCACCATTGAAATCATCTGGGCCTGAACTTTACTTTATGGGAAGTTTTAAAATTATTAATTCTACTCTTTGCCTATTATATGTCTAACCAGATTTTCTATTTCTTCAGAAATCAGTTTCAGTAGTTCTGGTCATTCTAGGAATTTGTTTATTTCATTTAAGCTAACTAATCTGTTATGATCCTGTTATTCCTAGTACTGCCTTCTTCTCTTTCATTTCCTTAGGGTCAGTAGTGATGACCCTTCTTTCATTCCTGATTTCAGTAATTTGAGTCATCTATTTTTCCATTGTCAGTCTAGCCAAAGGTTTGTCAATTTTATTGATGTTTTTAAATAACCAACTTTTGTTTTTATTAATTTTCTCTCATTTTCCTATTCTCTATCTTACTAATTTCTATGCTAACCATTATCATTTCCTTCCTTTTTTTCTACCTCTCCCTGTCCCTTTTCTCCTTGTGCTACTTCTACCCAGTATGAGCTTTCTAAGAAATTCTTACATTCAGATATGCAGATGCAATCTGACCTCCAATTTCACACACACAAAAAATTTGCTGGACTCTTGGTTTTGTTTGTTTTCTCTGTTGTATCTGCATGCTTTGTCACAAGTTAAGGTAAAGATGTTGACCTTCACAGCCATGTTTACACCAGAAACTTATCTTTTTTTAAAAATCTATATCTCCTACCACCAGCTCTCAAGACAGTGGGATAGGTAACCTCTATGAACTCTGAAAAGTGAAGGGTCAATTCCACTAGATGCAAGATTATAAAATAAGTTATAATTACCAATGATATGCTCTTCTCATGACTATTACCTATGGGAACCTTCTTTTTAAACTTTAATTTCTTCTGGTCCTTCTGTTTTTGATGCCCAAGTTCTCCAAATATGAATGGTTACCGTGCCAGAAAAGGCTAGATATAATCTCCCTATGGAAGCCCTCTTACTGTCAAAGACTCTTTTGTTTGTGAGACTGATTGTAACTGTGAACTTAACCCATATGAATTAGGCATGAAAGAACTATAAAAATAGAAGTGTAATATAGTACCTGGTTAAACTTAAAACTTTTATTCTCAGGTATGGGAAGACAAAGTAGCATGTGTTCACAAGTAATATTTCACTCAAGATTCTAAAGCTTCCTTTGTATAGATTTAAAGGGCAGTACCCTATATATACTGACACTTAAATGGGACCTGTGCAAATTTCTCTCATGACCCTGAAAGAGTAGCCAGGATTGGGCTTACCTCCTAGCATAAACAACTAGATAATTATATTAAAATTCATGAAACAACTGTTTGTTAGATAAGGGAAATCAGGAAGCATAGGAGTGGAAATTCCAAGTGAAAAGACACAAAGTAAGCTAAATTACTGTACTGGATTTTGCTGGAGATAATTTCTGGACTACAGTAAAAGAAGAAAAAAATCAAAAGAGAGTTCAATGATCTTACTAAGCTGAAAATAAATCTGTTTAGAATTATCAAGACATCTAGAATTTGTGGAGTCCTAGAAGGGGGATCAGACAGAGGAAAGTGTCACCCAGAGAAAAAGTCTCCAGAAATTTGTGCAATGATCCTTCTGAGTCTTTGACTAAATTTTATTTCATATATATTTATTAAATCTTCATGAATCCAGTCAAAAAAAATAATACACTGAAAAGAAGAATTAGGGAATCTACAAGCCCTTCCCTTTGCAAGACAAAAATAGAAATTACCCAACAGAAGAATGGAAATAAAATAGACAGGAAAAAACTAGAAAAGAATGGGGCCTCAGAGACCTATGGCACTATAACAAATACATAATATTGTGTCAGTGACGTTTTGGAAGATAGAAAAAGGAGGGTGGGGATGAAAATGTGTTTAAAGAAATAAAGCTAAAAATTTCCTAAATTTGGCAAAATACATAAACCTATACATTCAAGAAGCTGAGTAAACCTCAAGCAAATTAAACCCAAAGAAATCCACACCAAGATACATAATTGTCAAACTTCTGAAAATTAAAGATGAAGGAAAAATCCTCAATATGATGAGAGAGAAATGACACTTTATCTGTATGGGAAAATGTAAAATAACGGATTTCTTATCAGAGATTATGGAGACCAAGAGGAAATGACATTTTTCAGCTGAAGAAATAATACAACCTAGAATTTTATATTCAGCAAAATTGTCCTGTAGAATTCAAGGAGAAACCAAGACATTTCCAAATAAAGGAAAACTAAGAGAATTTCTCTCTAGCAAACTATCCTAAGGTAATGTCTAAAGGCAGTTCTCTAAACAGGAAGGAAACAATTTTTTTAAACAAAGGATTTGTGAAACATCAAGAAGAAAGAACGAGAACATCATGAAGAAAGAGAGCAAGAATAAGAAAAATATATATAAATCAAATAAACTTTCCTTCCCTTTCTTAGGCTCCTAAGTAGTACTTAATGGCTGAAGCAAAAAACTGTAACATGTCTGATGTGGTTCTGAATGTACCTAGAGGAAATATTTGAAGAATTATATATAAATGCATAAGAGTAAAGGGAGAAGTTGAGTTCTACATTTCGTTTAACTGATAAAATGATGCCACCAGTGGATACATTAATTATATACAATGTAATACCTGGAGCAACCAATAAAAAGCTATGTAAAAAACTATGTAAACTCAGAACTGTTATGAATAAAACAAAATGGAATTCTAAAAAATGCTAAAGTAACCACAGGAAGACAAGTAAAAGAATCAGAAAAATGAAAAACAGAAAGAACAAACAGAAAAAAAGAAACTAAACCCACATATCCAAGATTCTTAATGAACCCGAGCAACATAAACATAAAGCAAACTGAACCATAACACATTATGACCAAATAGATGAAAACCAATGATAAAATCTTAACAGAACCCAAAGGACAAAGAAAGGCACATTATAAATAGAAGAAAAAATAAAAATGACTGCATATATGTTGTCAGAAACCATGCAAACATCTTTAAAA